ATAAACAGAGAATGAGCACCACTAACAGGGTCTTGTCATTGTCTGCTTTTAGTCATCCCCAAGCAATGGGGACTCCTGTGCTAGGTGTACCCAGGAAGGTAACCAAACTCCAACCAGGAGTCTTCATTTGTGGTATCACTTTGAAAGTTACCATGTTTTACTGATGTGCCACCATCTGGTTCATACATTTAAGCTTTCAAGTTAGCTTTCACATAAAATATTTCTAGAGTTGTTCTTATGTTCCTTCAAGTTGTCTATGAAACTAGAATTACATCAGAAAATAATATTCAATTATAATTGTTATTTAGGATAATGCAACCAATTTTCTTTGGTTGATGATGCCACAGGGAGTGGGAGTTTAAATTAAGGTCTTAGCATCTCTTTTAGGTAAGCTCTCCCAACGCAGAAAGTTCAGGCTCTTTAACCAAGAGGTTTGTTTACAGGTCTGAGGAAATACAGATATTCTTTTCCATGTAAGATATCTAGAAGAGATTTTGGATTCTTCATAGGAAAAATAATATGGGAATATTTTTAGCCACTTTAGGCATTACGTATCTTGATTTGCAGGGAGCAAGAAGTGCACTCATCCTATGGAGCTTCATATAAGGCACCTGACTGGGCTGTCCTCTTCTACAGCAGTGTCCTGGAGAACTATTTCCTGAGAGTGGGAGACTAGAATGACCCTGAGAGTTTTTAGGAATAAATAAATAAATAAATAAAGCCTGAAGGGGCTTCAGAAAGTTTGTAAAATAAATAAATAAATAAAAATAAAATAAACACAATTTAAGTTTAAGTTTATTTTGGTGCAAAAGACATAATTTGTAATCCATACATGATTTTTCCAAAATACACATTTTCAATGATCTTTTTGAAAGACTCTCATATATATCTCCTTGCTTCTGAAAATTAAATTTTTTGAAGTGTTGTGTAAGGGAGATAGTCAATTAAAATAAAGTTACATCAAAAGAAATAAAACGAGCCCTTTAGAAACATGGTAAGCAGGGTGACTAGCAGTTAGCATAATGGCCATGTCACTGGACTCCCATGCAGTTGGTCACAGAGTGAGTCCTAGACCGAGTAGCTTAAAGACACACCAGGCGTGTGTGTGTGCATGCCTGCCCAAGATCCCTTCTCCTTTCAGGATCTTGAGGACACATGCACACGTGCCCAGCGTGAGTTGAAGCCACCAGGTCTGGGACTCAAACTGTGGTTGACTACATGGGAATCCAGTGACATAGCCATTACCCCAACTGCTGGTCCCGTGGTCCTCGATATTTATATCTCTTTAAAATTAAAGAAATATTTTCAGATAACACAGAGGTTTTGATTTGTTCTTTTTTTTAAAAAAAATCTATGATCTCCACCTTTAATTTTTTTCTGTCTACTTTCACTTAATATTATTATTGATATCGTTAAATTAAGCCAAACATCTTGGTACTGTATATTTATTACTGTATATTGTATTATGTATTTTTTAGAATTATTTATTTAATTCCATTTATTATTATTATTATTATTATTATTATTATTATTATTTTGAATTTGACCAGAGATAGACAGAGAGAAAGGAAGAAAGGGGAAGCACAAAAACAAGTAGCCAGGTCTGGGCCTTTAACTGCAGTTGATCATGTGAGAGTCTAGCACCTTAGCTACCATGCCACCTGCTGACTCCATATGCTATGTATTTTCTAATAATGATATGCATCTACTGTGATTTAAAATAGAATAGTTTGCATACTTACTTCTATCTATATTTTAAATATCAATTTAGCACCTTAAACATATTCCACTTATTGCCTAAGTAGGTCAGAGTCAAAGTCAATAATATTTTCATGATTTAAGGTAAAAATATGTAGCATGGGCCAACAGGTGGCATGGTGGTTAAGGGTGCTGGATTCCCACATGGCCAACCTGGCAGCTTACTTTTACACTTTCCCTCTCTCTCTGGTCAAGTTAAATAAGTAAATAAATAAATAAAGTTAATAAAGTAATTATTAAAAAATTATATATATATATATATACACACACACACATATAACTCTAGGTCATGTAGACATTTCTCTAAGGCATTATCTGGTCCACTCTGATTCTGAGGCCATATTGGAAGGATGTTTACATCCTAAGGTCTCCCAGGGTAGATGCCTGAGGCAGTGCCTATGATCCTGGATAGTTAAAGCTGAGGGTGGGTTGCTTTGAAGACCTATTGGGAATTCTCTCTGTCTCTGTCTCTGTCTGTCTCTCTCTGTCTCTCTCTCTCTCTCTGTCTCCTCTTCTCTCATGGAGTGAATGAATTAAAATAAAAACTTAAACAAATTTTGATGAGGGGCAGTTGGTGGCATGATAGTTAAGACAGATGGATTCTACATATCTGACTTTGCAATTAAGTCCTAGTCTGGTGGCTTAAAAAGCACTCCAGGTGCACGTGTGCATATGCCGAAATTTCCAATAGTAGAAAGAGAGGAAAGGATTGTGGCATGACCATCCCTCCCCAGGAGTGGGCTTTCTCTTTTGCCCTTTCTATATCTATTTCTGAAGTGTAAATGTGCAAATTAAAAAAATATATATATCCTGATGACATTCCCTATTGCAAATTAAAAAAATATATATCCTGATGACATTCCCTATTGTTCTTTATTTTCAAGTCTTGCATCACATCTATTTTAGTTCATCTATAAAAATTTTGCTACACCATAGAGATTAATTATTTCACATAAGGGACCCTTTTCTCTGGAGTTTAAATAACAGTATGAATCTCTAATTATGGTACTCTGCACATCTTTTGTCTCAGTTCCAGGAACCAAATGTCTATACCACAGGTTTGTTGGTTAAAATTAGATTCTGCTTACTCAAAACTGTAACTGAATATATTTTCTGAACAAAATAAATATTGTAAATATATATCTAGCTCATTTCTCTTCTAATCTGAAAATATTTATGAGAAACCTTATGCTATGCAATAATTCTTAAAAACGTTTTTGTTTATTAGTTTGAGAGGTGGTTTCTTGGACATTAGATTAATATATTGTACAATAACAAGCATTGATTTGTATGAAAAAAAGAATAATCAAATTGGTAGAAATTCTCTCTCACCCTCCCTATTCCTCTGGCCTTTTTTTCTCACTGCTTTCCTTAAAGAAATCTATATTTTAGGACAAATGTGGGGTTTGTAAACAATCCTAGCTGTTAGTTGAATTAATTTGCCTAGAAGCTGGTCATGTGGAGTTGGAACATGCAAACATTTCCTGCTCAGGAAAGGAGATGAATTATTTTGAATGATAAATGATCATAGACCCATTTCCCATTATTAGCATATAACATTAGCAGAAAAAAATTAAAGAGGATTTTCTTCTGTTACCTAGACAAATATCATCCTTTTTAATTTTCATTTTGCTTTTTGATCTGATAATGAGAAAAGCATGATTTCTTTTCTTTTTTTTTTCCTTTTTTTTTTAGAGGTTTTTGCTATAGGGCTCATGCGCTCGCCAAACAGAGAGAGAGAGACATAGAGACAGAAAGCGAGAAATCACCCCCAGGGGGGATGGTCACGCCACAATCCCTTCTCCTCCATTCTACTCTCGGGATCTTGGGCACGCATGCACACGCGCCGGGTGTGAGTTTCAAGTCACTGGGTCTGGGATGCGAACCACGGTCGACTACGTGGGAATCCAGCGACATAGCCATTACACTAACTGCTGGTTCCCAAGCATGATTTCTATACCAAAATTTTGGGATTAAAAAAAATAGTTCAACATATGGACAAAATAGTAGGCTATGCGAAATTTCATTCCAGAATCTCTTCATTCTGTTTTCATTAGACATGTGTACAAAAAGTATTACATTCACATCTGCAGTCTCGGAAAATAAGACAGTAAAATTTCTCAGTTCTTCCTTAAGTGAAAGCACTGGATGATAGTTTACACAGAATAAAACACTTAACAACTTTTCATAATCTACCTTTGAGAAAGGTTGGAGAGTTTTCAGTGCCCTCATATTCAATATCAATAAAGTACTTATATTTCAGGATTGTAGCAAGATCAAACTGATAACATATGATATATCTACATACATTCACACTTCCAAATGTGTGTTTTCATTTAAAGCTACATACACATGCAAACTATGTTATGGTTTCTGCTTTTCAATAATTAACCATTCTCAAAACAATTTCAAATATCATGATAATCATCTACTTTAAATATCATGTACATAGTATAACAATCCCTACAATTTTTGTTTTCCGTGCAATTTTGAGTTTGGTTTTCTATTGTTAATATCACAATGATGGAGTGTGTCTTTGAACATAGTTTTCCACAATTTTTGAACTATTATTAAATATTTTTTATTGAACTGAGAATAAAATTTCTCATTAAAAGTATCATTAAGTTTCTATTATTGTTAGTGTGAGGTTGTATAAATATTGCGTAATGGGTTTTGCCAGAAAATTCACTTAAGAATTCCATCTTGTTTAGAAATTGTAGGCTTAGGCCTGCATAACACCATTGTAATGAGTTTAATCAGTCATTAATTTTTAAATTTTGTTTTCATTATTTTCTGATGTCAGGAGTTGTGTGTGTACACCAGACAGAGAGAAAGAAAAAAAGAAAGAAATTAAAGGGAATCACAGCTAATTTTGATGTGATATCAAAGCACATCATTCACTCTTAGTAAAAGTATGGCAAACTACTTGACATGATCAATAATCTGAATTACACTGCAGAAGTTTATGGCTGAAATAATTTCTGGTTATTGCTGACACTTTAATTTTCATCACTGGCGTCCACTAAGATATTAAGCATTATGAATTATTTTGACAATACTGTAATGTTTAGAAAATTTGACAAATGTGCTTTCCTTACCCCACATAATTACATTGAGTTTGATGTTGTTTTCTAATTTTAATATGATCAATTAAATATAATAATATAAACTTGTTGTTTTCTCTCTTGTTCTCTTTGCAGAAGCACAGAATTTATCATTTGTTTTCCCTAACCTGACTTAGAATGGCAGTGATCGTGGAAAACTGCACCACTGTGAAACAGTTCATTCTCCTGGGATTATCAGATGTCCCTGAATTGAGAGTCTTCCTTTGCCTGCTGTTTCTTCTCATCTATGCAGTCACAGTTTTGGCCAATCTGGGCATGATTGCACTGATTCAGGTCAGCTCTCGACTCCACACTCCCATGTACTTTTTCCTCAGCCATTTGTCTTTTGTGGATTTCTGCTACTCCTCGGTCATTGTGCCAAAGATGCTGGCTAATATCTTAACAAAGGACAAAGCAATCTCCTTCCTGGGATGCATGGTGCAGTTCTATTTATTTTGTGCTTACATAATTACTGAGGTCTTCTTGTTGGCCGTGATGGCCTATGACCGCTTCGTGGCCATTTGTAACCCACTGCTCTACGTGGTAGCCATGTCTCAGAAGCTCTGTATGGAGCTCGTATCTTGCTGCTACCTCTGTGGGTCGGTCTGTTCTCTGATTCATTTATGTTTAGCCCTTGACATCCCATCCTACAGGTCAAATGTGATTAACCACTTCTTCTGTGATCTACTCCCTCTCCTAAGTCTTGCTTGCTCTGACGTCACCACAAATGAATTGCTGCTGTTCATTGTGGCCACTGTCAATGAGATCATCACCATCACTATCATCCTCACGTCCTATCTGTTTATTCTCATCACCATCTTAAGGATGCGCTCTGCTGAGGGAAGACGCAGAGCTTTTTCCACCTGTACTTCCCACCTCACGGCCATCATTGTCTTCCACGGAACAATCCTTTCCACTTACTGCAAGTCCAGTTCAGACAATAGTCTGGATATTGACAAAGTGATTACAGTGTTCTACACAGTAGTGATACCCATGCTGAACCCCCTGATCTATAGTCTGAGGAACAAGGATGTGAAAGAAGCTCTCAGAAAAGTGGTGGGTTCCAAAACATGTTCCTAGAAAACATATTTGTTTTTATCAGGACCGTATAAACTTTATGTGGATCTAGATAAAGTAAGTTCCACAGTATCAAATCATAGGGTTAGACTTAGACTTTCCTCACATATTCTCCTTAACTTCTTTTAGTCATAGTAATGTATTTCCTCTGGCATTTTCCCTCCTCCTCCCACCCTGTCTCTAGTATCTGCAGTTGCTTTCCATTCCTTTTTTCTTTCTCCTGTTGGATTGATTCGCCAAATATCTTAATTAAATACTTTTAAGAGGAACTTCAACTGATATATACTTATCTGTAAACAAAGTTGACTTTAGGCATGAAATTCTGTAGGTAGAATGAATATACTATAAAATAGCACATAGCTGAGGCTATATAGCTTACTGTGGTCACTAAATAGGTATTTTTGATACATTTTTTAATTTCTAAAAAGGTGGTTTTAGCTTTCATAACTCAAAATTTAAAAAAAAGTCACTAAATAGGTATTTTTGATACATTTTTTAATTTCTAAAAAGGTGGTTTTAAGCTAAATACTTAAAACCAAGAAACATATTAGGATTCTGTTTGAATTAGTAGTACATGGACTTGTCTACAACTCCAGAGACAAAAAACTCCTTAACACTGAAGATTAGTAATATTTTAGTCAAAAGTCATAAAATTCTATTTCACCAGTTTAAACTAATGTACTTTATGTTCTGCTGTGGTTCAATCTTTTTTTTTTTTTTTAATTTGCCAGAGCATACATGCATCAGCAGAGACAGTGAGATGGAGAGAAATTAATGCATATATGCATTTTTTGAGAGTTTTTTTGCTATAGGATGTGTGCACTCACCAAAAAAACAGGTTTTGTTTATCTGAGAATGTTCTTGTCTTCTCTTGCCATATGAAGGATAATCTTGCTGGATATAGTATTCTTGGTTGAAATTGTTTCTCATTCAACAATTTGAATATATTTTCCCATTCTTTCCTAGCTTGCATTGTTTCTGATGTAAAGTCTGCAGTTAACTAGATAAGCTATCCTTTACATTCTTTCCTAGCTTGCATTGTTTCTGATGTGAAGTCTGCAGTTAGCTAGATAAGCTATCCTTTATAGGTAACGTGACATTTCTTTCTTGCCAGTCTGAGTATCTTGTCTTTGTTTGTGGTTTTGGTCATTCTGACTATAATGTGTCTCAGAGAAGATCTTTTTGGGTTGATCCTCTTTGGGGTACTTTGTATTTCTTGGATCTGGATCTTTGAATGCCTCTCTAGGTTTGGGAAGTTTTCTTCCAGGATTTCATGGAATAGATTGTCAATGCACTTATTAGTCTCTTCACCTTCTGGGATATTGGTTATCCATTGTCTCTTCACCTTCTGGGATATCGGTTATCCATCTGTTTGGACTTTTAATGATATCTAGTATTTCTCGTATATTTTTGGAGGGGCTATTTTCTCAGTCGTTGTAGTGGATTTTTCTATTCCAGTGATTCTCTCTTCTACATCTGAGATTCAATTTTCTGTATGATCTAGTCTGTTTTTTATACTTTCAAAGGAGATTTTTGACTTCCTGTTATAGCTTTCATTTCCAACAGCTCCATTTTATTTATTTATTTTTTTAAAGAAGATTTGGTATAGGGCGCTTGTGCTCACCAGAAAGGCAGAGAGTGACAGAGAGACAGAAAGCAAGAAATCACCCCCGGGGGGGATGGCCACACCGCAATCTCTTCTCCTCCATTCTCCTCTCGGGATCTTGGGCACGTACACACACATGATCAGCGTGTGTTTAAGTCACCTCCATTTTATTTATTTATTTTTTTAAAGAAGATTTGGTATAGGGCGCTTGTGCTCACCAGAAAGGCAGAGAGTGACAGAGAGACAGAAAGCAAGAAATCACCCCCGGGGGGGATGGCCACACCGCAATCTCTTCTCCTCCATTCTCCTCTCGGGATCTTGGGCACGTACACACACATGATCAGCGTGTGTTTAAGTCACCTGGTCTGGGAAACTACATGGGAGTCCTGCAACGTAACCATTATGACAACTGCTGGTCCCCATTTGATTCTTTTTTATGATGTGCATTTCCTCTTTCAGCTCTTGCAAGAACTGCCTCATCTCCTAGAACTCATCAGCTTTTTTCTTCTGGTGTTCATTGTCTCTTCTCTCTCCATCTCTGTTAGCCTTGTCACTATGAATACTCTAAATTCTTTATCAGATATTTCCATGAGTTCTGTTCTACTATTTGTGGATGAAGAGGAGTTACTCTTTTCCCTTAAGGGAGAGGTATTTTCTTACTTTCACATATTTCTTGTGCCTCTATGGTAATTTTTTCATATGATGTGTTATTCATTTCTTCCTAATTTCTAGGAGATCAATATGAGCAATCGATGGTGTACGGAAAGATGTGGTCTGCAAACTCTTTGGCATTGCATTTTTCTCCATTTGTGTCACAGATTCAATGGGAGTTGAAGAATATGAGAACCCAAATAGTATTCAGTTTTTGGTAACTTTTCACTTAGACCTGTCTAGACACTCAGGACATGGAGACTGAGCCACTAATTAATGAGATAAAAGAAAAAGAATGAGAAAACAGAGAAAGAGAGAAAGAAAAAAAGGGGAAAAAAACAACAAAATAAATTATTTGTTCATTTTTAAAAAATGAAAACTAAATCACTAGATCTCAGTTCTCTTGGCAGACTCAATCTTCTTCTGGCTTGCCCTTTTTGTTTGCCTGGATGGGAGGGGAAGGGGAAGGAGATTATTAGCTAGATAAAGGAGGATTTCAGAGCCAAGAAAAAAACTTTACCTTATTTTTTTTTTTTAAAAAAGAAAGATTAGTAAAAGAAAATACAAAGACAGAGAGACAGAAAGAGACAGAGAGAGTCTGGGAGAAAAGGACAGACAGGGCTCTACCAGGGTGACCTCTCAGCAGAACATCTTCATTGCTCTTATCCCTGAAATCACTCACTAGATCTCAACTCTCATGGAAAACTCAGTCTTCTTTTAGTCTGCCCTTTCTGTTTCCCAGAGTGACTTCTCAGTAGGACATCTTCATTGCTCTTATCCCTGAAATCACTAGATCTCAGCTCTTATGGTGGACTGAGAACATTTTTTTTTTAATGTGGACTCTAAATTGTATGTGTAGCTAGATAAAGGATGTTCCACAATATCAAATAATATGGTAAAACTCAGACTTTCCCCACATATTTTCCTTAGCTACATTTAGTCATAGTAATGAATTTGAAGTCTACTGGGCAGGTTACAGAAGGTAGTTTAGTCACTGACAGTAAGTTTTCTCAGCAATTGGTGACCTTGATGATCTTACAGAAAGGAAAGGGTGATTCAGAATTTGGAAGAGGTTAAGAGAGGGGCATAAATGATTGAATCATTAGGATACAGATCTGAATCTTTTTTTTTTTTTCCTTGAAGCTTTTGTCTTAGGGTGCATGTGCTTGCTGGAGAGACAAGGAGACAGAGATAGTGAGAGGGAAAGTGAGAAATCACCATCCAGGGGCTTGATCGCCTAAAGTGAGAAATCACCATCCAGGGGCTTGATCACCTTGCAATCCCTTCTCCTCCATTATCCTCCTGGGATTTTAGGCATACATGTACATGTCTCTGGCATGATTTTTAAGCCACTGAATCTGGGACACAAACAGCATAGTCATGACAATACTAGCAATATAAATGAGGACACTGTTTCTGAGTCTTTCAAATGCTAACTCTAAGATATTTCTCACTATGCACCCTTTTTCTCCATGTCTATTTCTATACAAGTAGTATAAGATTCATTATCATTTAATATTCCCATAAGAAATACCCTAAACTTTGCTAATTAAATCATTAAAGAATGATTGCTACAGTATTATTCTGTAAGAAAAAATATTTTTGAAAAATAAGCTCAATAATAGAATAGATTTGATTAATTTTCATAACACACTTAAGACTTTCAATTCATGACTATTTATTCCTTATACCAAAGGCCTAAGTTCAGTATAGTACCAAAGACAAATTTGGAGATTATACAACATAACTTGTGATGCAGGTCTGGCTGTAGCAATTAACTCATAGTACATTATGGGGGGGGCACATTCTGTCTATTAACAAGAGGAATATCAGAGTTAAAGCAAATATTTCAGATGAACAAAATAAGGTGAAGTGTTTCGTTTAATAATATCTCCATTTAAATATAGAAGACTTAATGCTAGGTAAGGCAAGGCAGACAATACATGTTTCTACTCGGGATATACAGAGTGCCTTCACCTTATGACAGAAATTGAAAAATTGGAAGATATAATAACAGAACTGGCAAGTGTATACACCAGAGACTGTATAGGAGGAAGTGGATAGTGAGGGGTAAAAGAGAGGTCAGGAGAAAAATAAAACATCTAGTTGACATGAGAATAGAAAGCTATATGAGCCAGCAGATGGTAGCGTGGCTATACACTGGATTCCCACATAACCAACTGCTGTCTGAGTCCTGGACAAGAGGCTTAAAAATCACAGGTACTTGTGCTTATGTGCTCCAAATCCCAGGTGGAGAGTGGGAGAGAAGGGATTGCAATGTGGCCATCCTCCCCAGGGAGTGATTTCTCATTTTTCCTCTCATTGTCTTTCTCTGGTAAAAATGATGTACATGATAATATCTTTGACTTGGTTCATATACCATGCATAGCTGTTTTGAAAAACATTATTGTATGCAGTAAAGATGTGTAGTGATTAAATGTAAAATAAAAGAACTCTGTAAGGGGGATAGATATACAGTTGAGAGAGAAGATGGTTATTAATTCAAGAATCCACATTCTACCTGAAGACAAAATCACGTAAATGTGCAAATGAATAATTACTTCCCATCATGGCTTGACAAATAAGTAAAAGATGAGTCATAGAAATTGTGACTATCAAAAGAATAAAGAATCTAGACATTGAACCAACTCAAATGTCCACAAACAGATGAATGGATTGAAAAAGTATGGCACATATACTTCATGGAATACTATTTAGCCATTAAAACAAACAAACAAACAAACAA